TGGAAGTTCTGTGTGGATATTGCAACAAAATTATTCAACCCAGCAGAGAAGATAGTGTCATGGGTTGTATAGCTGGTTTCTGAGGCAATGCTAAGTTGCCATTTTCACACCTACCGTTACATGATTAGCTCTTGTATTTCTTTGGCTTTAAGTTTGTTCACTTGTTATTTTAGACTACCAAAGTCCTTCAAAAGGAAACAATATATTTGATTAATTAATGTAAACTAACAGTGTCTGGATGTGCAAAAAGTGTTTGAGGGGCATAGGAATGCTTCTCTCAGGCCTTGGCCTCTCAGCCTTCTGGCCCCTTGACCTCTGCCTTGCTTGGGCAAGTATTGTAAAACACTTGAAGATTTGCTAATAGTGCCCAAAGGGGCATCCCATTTCACCAGCAAGCCTCCTGCCTAGAAACACTCAGCTTCCTTCCTCTACGAGCCATGAAGCCCACCACTTTGTCTCGCACTCTTCTCTTGGTTTAGCTGCCAACATTTTTTTTTTTTTTTTTTTTGTGGCTTCTTGCTGTCTCAGTGCAGGGATCTTGGGGGCAAAGACATGCTCACTCCTGGCTCTTCTTTCTTGATGGTAGTGAGATCCTACTTTCTATCTCTGGGTTGGCTTATTTTGAGCCAATGGCAAAACATACCATTCCCCACATTAGGGGTCCATACCCTTATTTACATGGTCCTACTCCCACAAGGGTACCAGGTACCTCATTTACATTATTAGCAAGCTATCCAGTCCCCTTGGTGGGCCATAGACATCTGATGTTTGCATAGTTCCACCCAGTCATCTAGTGAGAGTCATGAAGAGCTATATGAAGTAATTCACCACACCACAGGCTGTGGTGACTAAGTACAGATAGCATCCAGTGAAAACAAAGTTCAAAACTCAAAACTAGTGCCTATCCTAACCTGTGGTTTATCTTGTTGGGTACCACTACTCAGAAATATTTTTATCAGCAATATCATTTACCTAGTGCTGTTCTAAAACCTATAGATGATGACTGTGATGTAAACAAAAAATCCTACTCTATTTGAGCTACCATTTTGTTAGCTGAATTATAGTCTTTTTCCCTTCACCTAATGAAGCAGGGGATGGATACACCTCTGTCAGTTAAAAGGGATGTACAATAAAAGGATCAAAGCCTTTGTGTTTAGAAAGAGTATATTTGGGAAATCCTAAACATTTCATACAATTTTTAGTTCACGGAGCATGTTCTTAAGAGGGAGGAAAGGAACTTAATGTTGCTCACATACACCAGTGTGTAAGGTTTTTTTTTTTTTTTTT